TCTAGGTGAACATAGCAAACGTACCGTCACACTCCTACTGAACCATTGTTGACAAAAAGTGTGAAAGGATTCGCTGCTATGTCACATTTTCTTCTACTAATTTACTAATTCTTCTACTAATTATTACTAATTTGATCGAAAAAATTCAAAAGTGCACTGTATCATCAATTTTACTTGTAACTTAACTATTTATCGACAACAACAGTAATATTTATTTAAGATTTTACGCACAAATACTTGGGTGCAATAATTTTGGCGTATAATGATCACCAATAATAAGTGGAAGTGAAAAATTCTCGTAAACGACTAAAATCACCTCTTTGTAGACATCTTATTATTCTTCCTACTATTCTTCCTACCCAATTGTCTGCATTGATGAAAAAGAGAAAAACAAAAGAAACAAGGATGAAAAACAAAGACAAAAAAATTTTATAAATTATTCAAGAACTTTTTCTTATCAAAATATTCATAAATCAGAAAAAAAGTATGCTGCACTTTCCCGATTCAACAACACTGCTTTCTTAATTTGGTTATTACCCTACACTAATTGTAACAAGAATGTCCGCAGCTCGTTATGAAGTTTCAGATTTGTAAACTAAGAAAACAAAGGGAGTTCAAGAATAATGTTTAAAATACTCCAGAAACAGCTTTCAAAAAAACTAATTTTGTCATCCAAAATATCGGAAATCAAACAGTTTAATAAAAGATAAAATACTTTTTAGCGCCTTTGGCAGCTTTAGCAATATTCAGCAAAGGTGACAGACCAGTTGATTTTTTAAACAGTGTTTGCTGAAGCCCACTAAAACTGTGCTATTCAGAACTAAACATATTGCTGGTTTGAGTTTTTTAACATCAGCTGTAACTGTTTGCTTTGACTTTTGTTTTGACTCTTTTTTTCATGTTTGTGTGCTGCTGTTTATAAATCCTCTTTCTGAGTAACTACAAAAAAATTGATTTTTTCTCGATACCCGTCAATTCTGAATTTGCATGAGTTATTTGCAGTTTATGTATGAGACGTGATCATACAGTGTTTATAGTACGGTCAGATGTACGTAGCAGACTATCACTTAACTGCTGAGAATACATCAGTGACACTAGTCAACAACGGGTTGTAGCTTCAGCTCTACAATCTATTAATATTGTGTTTTTTTTTTTTCAAGTGTATATCCATAATATTAATCCAGTGAAGATTTATTTGTTTTGTTGTATTAATGTTTCATTATGGCTACGTTAGAAACGTTGATAAATCAGACTCCAAAACGATCAACCATAATAAATAACCAAAACTTTAAACTACTGAATCAAGTTCCTATAAATAATATTTGCATTTTCTTTATTGAGTGTGGTGATAAATGTTTTACAGTGAGCTTAAAGCGACTTAAAAGATATAAATATACAAGTAAATATAAATACCTTATTCAAAATTAATTACTTCAATGAAAAAAAAAAACACCTCAGATACACTTTCCAATACAAGCAAAAAAAAAAAAGATAAAATAATTTAGAAAAAAAAATTTCTTTTTATTTCAACAAGTAACAAAAAAATTCAAATGACAGTGATATAAAATGCCCCCCCTGTTTTTCTCCATTTTGAACTTTGAGTGTTTTCTACTGCGCCGATAAACCGATTTTCACTCCTATTTTAACATACAATATATTTCAGTCCATATAGTACTGATTTTTAATCGTTAAAAAAAAGCGCAGCACTCAAACGCTGAAATAATCATTTGCTTTTTTAATAAATGGCGAAACAAAATTAAACATAAATTTTAATTCTATACCGTACTGAACCTGCATTACAAATCGTAATATCAGTGGCATAAATTCTTCCGATAAAATTACCATTCAAATTGTTGAGCAACTTCCTACCTGTGTCAGATTAATCGATGCGTCAAAAGATTTCATTTTACACAGCGAACTTTGGGAAGCTCCTAGTTAAAATTAAATAACTACTATGCTATAACTGCGTTATTTATAATGAAGAATTAAATTACAATTTCAAAACTAAGCCACCTGAACAAAGTGTTATAATTGTAAAATATCCTAAACAGCTTACCTGACCTAACCTGACCGAAAACAGTTTCAGATTTTGAAAGGCATACTATTTTAAAACAAAATAAACCAGTGGTAACATTATCTTTCTGGAGGTATCGTAGTCTGTTAGTACTATTGGTAATAATTTAAGGTTGCAATGTTTAAAATAGCTGAATTGGGCATTTATCCAAGGAGGCAGAGCAATTGAATATCAGCAATAGTTGTAAGGCCTCAAGTACACATAAAGTTGGGATTCGGTAGTTTCGGTCCCAAGAATCGTCTCCAGTAAGCCTGTCTTCGGGTAGAGGCTGAATAATCGTCCGTCAAAGCAGTGAGATGTGACAGAAGTTTGCACTAGAAGGTGACTCTGGTTACATTACAGGATTATGCAACTTTGCAAAGGAGCGACTCAGTAATGACGAAAATCAAGAGAAAGGGAGAAAAAAGTAAGTGTGCTCATGAAGCTGCCATAGTCGATAAACTTGTTGATAACCACGGTCTCGATGGAGAAAGTGCATCATTAAGCGAGGTAATGAATAGCATGCCATTTTAAAACCTTTGCTTGTGTATTTTTGAAATCCACGGTTATTAATACTTATGTTACGTATCGGTCTTGTTATACTGTTCCAAATTATCTCTTCTTTAACTAGTTTGGATGGAAAGTAGATGAGGATAGTTTCTGGATGTGAAGTGGTTTCTGAGTTAATGCAGTAGAAACTGGAATAGAAAAAGAAAGTGGCTGATTAAAACAAAAAACTTAAATTAGGGCACGGAAACTTTATTTAACAGCGTCTAAAACATATCCTTTGTGTTTAATTCATGATTCTTTCAGTGTATTACGACAGATGAAGAGGATGTAGTAGAATTTCGGGAGAAAATTAAGAAAAAAAAGGTGGAGAAAAGGAGTAAAAAA